AAATAAAAACATCTATATTTTAAAACATTCTTTTTTATATGTTGTGTTTCGGCTTGGGTCTAATTGTCCACGGTCAACTGACGTTGGCTGTAATGGACCACGGTCCCTTGCGTCGTGGCCAAGCTTCGGGCCACTTCCTGGAGTCGTTGGAGTTCTTCCATTACTAGTACGTTTCATGAAAGCGTGTTTAAAAAAAAAGGTTTTTTTTCATATTACTTATTATTTTACCAGGGTAAGGCCCCAATGAGCCATGTAGCTCTTTTTTCATCAGCGACCCGGTAACCACAAATCATTGCTCAACGAAGTGGGCTCATCATTAGTATCACGTGAGAATTTGTAGCGGCAGCCAAATACTTCAAACGTGTGGTTGATGTTGATTCTAAATGCGGAGGGAAAACCCAGAGGACCCGGAGAAAAACCCACGGGGAGAGAGATATGCAAACTCCAAATATACAGCAGGCATCAGGGTTGGAATCGAACCCAGGGCCTCCTGTATACCAGGCGAGGTACTTAATATTTCATAGTCAGCGTGGTAGAGTGTGAATTCTGACCGGTTCATGCAGACAACCATATTCATCCATCACTGGAAGGGTCTTAGCTGCACTAATCGTGTACTGGAGGAGAGGCGTTAGGGGACATTTTAGACCTGGCAAAAAAATCTCTGTTTTTATTTATAATTTTAGCGCGATGCTCAGTGATTAAAGGGTATCTTGCCTTTATGCCAACATCTGGAGTCAGTGGTGGAAATTCCACATCCCTACAATTGTTGATGAGTCAAAACTTTTTTTTGTCAGTGAAATACATTGCAACGATGCCGAACTAAGTCTGCGTTAAATGGAGCAAGGCGTCTCTCCACTTCAAAAAGTACATGCATTCGAAATGCCCGTATAAGTACCACACGAATACAATATATACCCTATCAGGCTCGTATATATTAATACCTCGTTACGTGTACAATAAAAAACAAATCCACAATGTTAAAACCGACTATGTTTTTTTAATTCCTGAAACTTTCAATAATCTGAACAGAAGGATTTTAAATGAATGCGACTAAAATATATTTCGTTTGACAGCTCAGATATCCGGTAGAATGGTGCATGGCTAGATGCAAACTCGATGTGATTCGTTACTGCCACCTCGATAGGCAGTGTAATATATGAGCGTGATTGGTTACTGGCACCTCTGTTGGTCGTGTAATAGATTAATGTGATTGGCTATTGATGTCAGAGATGAATGTGATTGGCTACTGATATCAGAGATTCATGTTATTGACTAGTGACGCCTCTAATGGCTGTGTAATAGATGAATGTGATTGGCTACTGACGCCAGAGATGAATGTGATTGGCTATTGATGCCAGAGATGAATATGATTGGCTAGTGGAGCCTCTAATGGTAGTTTAATAGATTAATGTGATTGGCTACGGATGCCAGATATGAATATGATTGGATACTGATGCCAGATATTAATGTAATTGATTATTGATGCGTAATATGAATATGATTGGCTAACGGCCCCTCTAATGGCAGCATAATAGCTTAATGTTTTTGGGTTCGTGTATTTCTTTCAAGTCTTCTGGTGCAAATTATTGAAAGTTTCACTGTTATATTTCCTCCGATCCCATGGAAACTATTTTACCATAAATATTTTGTTTTGGGCAAAAATAAATGTCAATTGTTGTTTATTGTACAATGAGAATTAACTCAGGTGGGCCCCCTGCATTCTAAATATTTGGCCCTTTCTCTTCCAAACGAAGTGCTTTGGGCTGTGGGAGGAAACAACGGAGCCAAGAGAAGCCCAGCACCACCGCCACCACCACCACCCACACACGAGGGGATGACACTCATCACCCGGCGCTCATTATCTGATGCTAATCAAAACCGTCACTCAAGGCGCTCTGTGACATAGGTTACTAAAACGGTGACACGGCGTGGAATTGTTTAGATGGCAGGGGCAGTGCTGCGAGGGAATTGAGGAGTGGGTGACGGCAGCGATAGAGGGGTAACTTGGGGGGGTGGGGGGATCACGGACGGGGCTACAGGGGAGGGACCGGAAGGAGTGGAGGGGGTGAGGAGAGGGAAGAGGAAGGGAATGGGCGATGATGGAGAAGTGATGGTGAGGCTTTGAAAGATGAATGTAAGAAGGTTAAGGAGGGGGACATCTTCGTGTAAAGGGGCAGTGCTGAGTCAATAGGCAGTGTTGAGTCTACGGGTGGCAGTGTTGAGTCACTACACTATACATTGCGATATACTACACTATACACTACTACACGCTACACGACTGATCACTTTACACTACACCACTATACACTACACCACTATGCACTATACTATACACAATACTATACACCACACTATACACCACTATATACTAAACACTACACTAGACACTACACTACATACTTCGCCACTATATACACTACAGTATACACTACACGACTATACACTACACTATACCTAAAATACTATACACTACACCTGACAATACTGTACACAAACTCTAGCTCTTCCTGGGAGAATTCCCGGGCGTTACCATGCCAGCCGAGTCTAACCGGGATAGACTACCAGGGGGAGTCTAACCGGGGTAGAGTTACAGGGGGAGTCTAACCGGGGTGGAGTTACAGAGGGAGTCTAACCGGGGTGGAGTTACAGGGGGAGTCTAGCTGGGGTAGAGTTACAGGGGGAGTCTAACTGGGGTAGAGTTACAGGGAGGGTCTAACTGGGGTAGAGTTACAGGGGGAGTCTAACTGGGATAGACTACCAGGGGGAGTCTAACCAGGGTAGAGTTACAGGAGGAGTCTAACCGGGGTAGAGTTACAGGGGGAGTCTAACCGGGGTAGAGTTACAGAGGGAGTCTAACCGGGATAGACTACCAGGGGGAGTCTAACCGGGGTAGAGTTACAGGGGGAGTCTAACCGGGGTAGAGTTACAGGGGGAGTCTAACCGGGGTAGAGTTACAGGGGGAGTCTAACCGGGGTAGAGTTGCAGGGGGAGTCTAACCGGGGTAGAGTTACAGAGGGAGTCTAACCGGGGTAGAGTACCAGGGGGAGTCTAACCGGGGTAGAGTTACAGGGGGAGTCTAACCAGGGTAGAGATACAGGGGGAGTCTAACCGGGGTAGAGTTACAGGGGGAGTCTAACTGGGGTAGAGTTACAGGGGGGAGTCTAACTGGGGTAGAGTTACAGGGGGAGTCTAACTGGGGTAGAGTTACAGGGGGGAGTCTAACTGGGGTAGAGTTACAGAGGGAGTCTAACTGGGGTAGAGTTACAGGGGGAGTCTAACTGGGGTAGAGTTACAGGGGGAGTCTAACTAGGGTAGAGTTACAGGGGGAGTCTAACCAGGGTAGAGTACCAGGGGGAGTCTAACCAGGGTAGAGCTACAGGGGGAGTCTAACCGGGATAGAGTTACAGGGGGAGTCTAACCGGGGTAGAGTTACAGGGGGAGTCTCACTGGGATAGAGTTACAGAGGGAGTCTAACTGGGGTAGAGTTACAGGGGGAGTCTAACCGGGGTAGAGTTACAGGGGGAGTCTAACTGGGGTAGAGTTACAGGAGGAGTCTAACTGGGGTAGAGTTACAGGGGGAGTCTAATCGGGGTGGAGTTACAGGGGGAGTCTAACTCGGGTAGAGTTACAGGGGGAGTCTAACCGGGGTAGAGTTACAGGGGGAGTCTAACCGGGGTAGAGTTACAGGGGGAGTCTAACTGGGGTAGAGTTACAGGGGGAGTCTAACCGGGGTAGAGTTACAGGGGGAGTCTAACTGGGGTTGAGTTACAGGAGGAGTCTCACTGGGATAGAGTTACAGAGGGAGTCTAACTGGGGTAGAGTTACAGGGGGAGTCTAACCGGGGTAGAGTTACAGGGGGAGTCTAACCGGGGTAGAGTTACAGGGGGAGTCTAACTGGGGTAGAGTTACAGGGGGAGTCTAACCGGGGTAGAGTTACAGGGGGAGTCTAACCGGGGTAAAGTTACAGGGGGAGTCTAACTGGGGTAGAGTTACAGGGGGAGTCTAACCGGGGTAGAGTTACAGGGGGAGTCTAACCGGGGTAGAGTTACAGGCGGAGTCTAACTGGGGTAGAGTTACAGGGGGAGTCTAACCGGGGTAGAGTTACAGGGGGAGTCTAACCGGGGTTGAGTTACAGGGGGAGTCTAACCGGGGTTGAGTTACAGGGGGAGTCTAACCAGGGTAGAGCTACAGGGGGAGTCTAACCGGGGTGGAGTTACAGGGGGAGTCTAACCGGGGTAGAGTTACAGGGGGAGTCTAACCGGGGTAGAGTTACAGGGGGAGTCTAACTGGGGTAGAGTTACAGGGGGAGTCTAACCGGGGTAGAGTTACAGGGGGAGTCTAACCGGGGTAGAGTTACAGGGGGAGTCTAACCGGGGTAGAGTACCAGGGGGAGTCTAACTGGGGTTGAGTTTAGAAGCCCAAATAACGAAAGCGTCAGTGGTGACCGCACCAGGATCATCAATCTCACTGCGTTTAGGTCAAAGCTTAATGGCAGCACCTATGAAGGAGACAAAGGCAAAGATCCCCCGTGTAGCCTCTAACTGACTATAAGGGCAAGTGCTGTTAGCGAGTAGCAGCGCCTATGAAGGCTATCATAGCACACGACGAGGAGGGGGAGGGGGGGGGGTGGCCAGCACCACGCCCGGCCGCCTTTGTCTCCCCAGTGCTAGCGATGTTTACTACACTACTACACCACTACTGCTACACTACTACTACTACACCACTACCACTACACTACTACACCACTACACCGCTACACCAGGTACTCATTTGAGGCTGAGTCGACCTAGGGAAGGCCCGGGACCGGCTCAGGTAATCGATCTCGGGCAGACACACACACAGAGACAGACACACAGTCAGACGCACACACACACACAGACAGACATACAGGCAGACACAGATATACACACACAGACAGACACACACACAGACACACACAGACACACAGACAGACACACACACAGGCAGACACACACAGACAGACACACACACAGACACACACAGACACACAGACAGACACACACACAGACACACACAGACAGACACACACAGACACACACGTCTCATATATAATTCTCTAAGACGTGGGCAGTCGATTCATGATGTTGGGTCTCCGTTGCTTAGTCACGTGCCACTTCCTGTGCCTGCCTCTCCACGGCAGAACGCCTGCACACACACAGAGACACACAGAGAGACACACAGAGACACACACAGAGACACACAGACAGAGATACACACACAGACAGACAGAGACACACACACAGAGACACACAGAGAGACACACAGAGACACACACAGAGACACACAGACAGAGATACACACACAGACACACACACAGACATACAGAGACACACACAGACAGAGATACACACACAGACACACACACACAGTCAGACAGAGATACACACAGAGACACACAGAGAGACAGACAGAGACACACACACAGAGACACACAGAGATACACACACACACAGACAGAGACACACACACAGAGACACACAGACAGAGATACAGACACACAGAGAGACAGACAGAGATACACACACACAGAGACACACAGAGAGACAGACAGAGACACACACAGAGACACACAGACAGAGATACACACACAGACACACACACAGACATACAGAGACACACACAGAGACACACACAGAGACACACAGACAGAGATACACACACAGACAGACAGAGACACACACACAGAGACACACAGAGAGACACACAGAGACACACACAGAGACACACAGACAGAGATACACACACAGACACACACACAGACATACAGAGACACACACAGACAGAGATACACACACAGACACACACACACAGTCAGACAGAGATACACACACAGAGACACGCAGAGAGACAGACAGAGACACACACAGAGACACACACAGAGATACACACACAGACACACACAGACAGACAGAGATACACACACAGAGACACACGGAGAGACAGACAGAGACACACACAGAGACACACAGAGATACACACACAGACACACACACAGACAGAGATACACACACAGAGACACACAGACAGACAGAGACACACACAGAGACACACAGAGATACACACACAGACACACACAGACAGACAGAGATACACACACAGAGACACACGGAGAGACAGACAGAGACACACACAGAGACACACAGAGATACACACACAGACACACACACAGACAGAGATACACACACAGAGACACACAGACAGACAGAGACACACACAGAGACACACAGAGACACACACAGAGACACACAGAGATACACACACAGACACACACACAGACAGAGATACACACACAGAGACACACAGACAGACAGAGACACACAGAGAGACAGACAGAGACACACACAGAGACACACACAGAGACACACAGAGACACACAGAGATACACACACAGACACACACACAGACAGACAGAGATACACACACAGAGACACACACAGAGATACACAGAGACAGACAGAGACACACACAGACAGAGATACACACACAGACACACACACAGACAGACAGAGATACACACAAAGACACACACAGACAGACAGAGATACACACACAGAGACACACACAGAGACACACAGAGACACACACAGAGACACACAGAGATACACACACAGACACACACAGACAGACAGAGATACACACAGACACACACAGACAGACAGAGACACACACAGAGGCACACAGAGATACACACACAGAGACACACAGAGAGACAGACAGAGACACACACAGAGACACACAGACACACACACAGACGCACAGACAGACAGAGATACACACACAGAGACACACACACAGACAGACAGAGACACACACACAGACACACACAGACAGACAGAGATACACACACAGAGACACACAGACACACAGACAGAGATACACACACAGACACACACAGACAGACAGAGACACACACAGAGACACACAGAGAGACACACAGAGACACACACAGAGACACACAGAGACACACACAGAGACACACAGACAGAGACACACACAGACACACACAGACAGAGATACACACACAGACACACACACAGACAGACAGAGATACACACACAGACACACACAGACAGAGATACAGACACACAGACAGACAGAGACACACACACAGAGACACACAGACAGACAGAGATACACACACAGAGACACAGACAGTCAGACAGAGATACACACACAGAGACACACACAGAGACACACAGAGACACACACACAGAGACACACAGAGAGACAGACAGAGACACACACAGACAGAGATACACACACAGACACACAGAGATACACACAGAGACACACACAGAGACACACAGAGATACACACACAGACACACACACACACAGACAGAGATACACACACAGAGACACACAGACAGACAGAGATACACATACAGAGACACACAGACAGAGATACACACACAGACACGCACAGAGATAGATACACACACAGAGACACACAGACACACAGAGAGAGACACAGAAAGACACAGAGAGAGACACAGAGACACGCACAGACAGAGATACACACACAGAGACACGCACAGACAGAGATACACACACAGAGACACGCACAGACAGAGATACACACACAGAGACACGCACAGACAGAGATACACATAGAGACATGCACACACACAGGGAGAGAGACAGAGAGAGAGACACAGAAAGACACAGAGAGAGACACAGAGAGAGAGACACAGATAGAGAGAGACACACAGAGAGAGAGAGAAACACGCACAGAGAGACATGCACACACACAGGGAGAGAGACAGAGAGACACAGAGAGAGAGACACACAGAGAGAGAGACACACAGAGAGAGAGAAACACGCACAGAGAGACATGCACACACACAGGGAGAGAGACAGAGAGAAAGACAGAGAGAGAGAGAGACACACACAGAGAGACATGCACACACACAGGGAGAGAGACAGAGAGAGACACAGAAAGACACAGAGAGAGACACAGAGAGAGAGGCACAGAGAGAGAGAGAGACACGCACAGAGAGACATGCACACACACAGGGAGAGAGACAGAGAGAGAAAGACACACAGAGAGAGACACACACAGAGAGAAAGAGACACGCACACACACAGGGAGAGAGACACAGAGAGAGAGACACACACAGAGAGAGATACAGAGAGAGAAAGAGACACAGTGAGAGACACAGAGAGAGAGACACACAGAGAGAGAGAGAGACACGCACACACAGAGACACGCACACACACAGGGAGAGAGACAGAGAGAGACACAGAGAGAGAGACACAGAGAGAGACACACACAGAGAGACACACACACACACAGAGACACGCACACACACACAGAGAGACACAGAGAGAGACACAGAGAGAGAGAGAGACACGCACACACAGAGACACGCACACACACAGGGAGAGAGACAGAGAGAGACACAGAGAGAGAGACACACAGAGAGAGACACACACAGAGACACGCACACACAGAGAGAGAGACACAGAGCGAGACACACACAGAGAGAGAGAGACACGCACACACAGAGACACGCACACACACAGGGGGAGAGACAGAGAGAGACACAGAGAGAGAGACACAGAGAGAGAGACACACACAGAGAGAGACGCACACACAGAGACACGCACACACACACAGAGACACAGAGAGAGAGAGACAGAGAGAGAGACACGCACACACAGAGACACGCACACACACAGAGAGAGACACAGAGAGAGAGAGACAGAGAGAGAGACAGAGAGAGAGAGAGACGCACACACAGAGACACGCACACACACAGAGAGACACACAGAGAGAGAGAGAGAGACGCACACACAGAGACACGCACACACACAGAGAGAGACACAGAGAGAGAGAGACACAGAGAGAGACACACAGAGAGAGAGAGACGCACACACAGAGACACGCACACACACAGAGAGACACACAGAGAGAGAGACAGAGAGAGAGACACGCACACACAGAGACACGCACACACACACAGAGAGACAGAGAGAGACACAGAGAGAGACACACAGAGAAAGAGACACGCACACACAGAGACACGCACACACACAGTGAGAGAGACAAAGAGAGAGAGACAGAGAGAGAGACACACACACACAGAGAGACACGCACACACACACAGGGAGAGAGACAGAGAGAGAGACAGAGAGACACAGAGAGAGACACACAGAGAGAGAGACACGCACACACACAGAGACATGCGCACAGAGACAGACACAGAGAGAAACGCACAAATAAATTGTCAATAATGAACAACGTAGAGATTTAAAGATTGAAAGCCAACGTAATATTTGTAATGCTTGAAAATGATGCAAAATGTTTTCGAAATCAAAGGACTAATGTAATAAGTTATTTAATACGAAACAAATGATATATGATATAATGCTAAGGGCCCGGCCATAAATGACGTCACGCACCTGGGGGGGGGGGGGGTCAGACATTTGTGACGATGCGTGACGATGGGGGGAGGGGGTGGGTTGAGAAATGTGACGTCACATCAAAATGCTCAAACTTTATAATGTAAATATAGACAACACGTTCTACTTAATTAAATAGACTTTTTTTAAAATAAATGTTTTCTCCTACAACATCAGAGTGCAGCGCCACATTAAATACGCAACTACTACAATGACAATAGTTTAAAGCGATTTGAAGATTTTTTTTTGGGGGGGGCAGAGCTTTGTGACGTCATATCTGAGGGGGGGGGGTCTGACTTTTTGTGACGCCGTGTGACGAGGAGGGGGGAGGGGGGGGGGTAAAAAAATCGTCCAAAATCGCGTGACGTCATTTATGGACGGCCCCTTAGCACTTCATTAAATATGTTGTCGGTGATTGAGGACATTCTGAAGTCACTTTATTGAATCGAACGCACGTGTGTACTGCATTAAAACACGTATATATATAGATCAAACATCGCAATGAACGGTGTGGCACAGACGTCCAAATGACATTCGGTTTACGCCGAGGTGGCTAGGAGATGTTGACTACCTCGCCTGGTGTACAGGAGGTCGTGGGTTCCACCACCACCATCATCATCACGGTGGCTAGGAGATGTTGACTACCTCGCCTGGTGTACAGGAGGTCGTGGGTTCCACCACCACCATCATCATCACGGTGGCTAGGAGATGTTGACTACCTCGCCTTGTGTACAGGAGGTC